TACAGTCCAGAACTTCAAAGATTTATCGTCACATCCAGTGGAAAGTATCAACACTAAAGTTGGACAGGTATCAAAGTATTTATCCATCAWATTTGTCTTGTTTTACATTGAAAATTACTCCGGTAATTTATCGTTAATCGTCGTTGAAGATCGACAATCAAACGTACGCCATTTTGTTTTGAATAAATGCGCACGCATAAACCACAGGCAACCCAAAAGACACAGGTAACCCAAAGTACCAAAATGAACACTGAACCGCAACTTCGATCGCGCGATGAAATCGCCAAGGAATCAACCGTCTCTGCGCGAGCTGAAAATCATGAACACTCAACTGTATCAGCGCGAGCTGAAAACTATGAAAATCCAATCGCCACCCCGTGTGACGAAAATCAAGAAAACCCAACAGCCGCCGCGCGAGCCGATAATCAAGAAAACCCAACAGCCGCCGCGCGTGCCGAAAAACAAGAAAACTCAACCGACGCAGCACGTGCCCAAAGTCAAGAAAATTCAACCGCTGCCGCGCGTGCGGAAAACACTCAAAGTCATTCGGACACCGCGCGTGCTAGTCACAACGCCCAATCAATCCAAGAGATACCCGTTTCTGTGAAAGAAATTAGCTTACTACAAAGCAAACATGAAAAGGACTTAAAGTCGCATATTGAAAGGATAAAGGAACTTATCTATTCAAGAGGAAGYAAGACGTTAATGCGATACTTGCGATCATCCCTRCATGAAATCTTACAAGAAATCGAACAAATCAAGGAAGAAGATTTAACATCATCAACACAGACGCTGATAGAAGAAGCCRAATATGTMTTGAATGAACTAGAAGAACACCTACAAAGACGAAGAGAAGAGTCGATAGCCTCGTCATACTATACACGTAGTGTAGTACAATCCAGCATCTCCAAAGCAACAACCTCCAGCTCCCAAAGAGCCATAATGGARGCCAGAAAGGACGCCGAAACAGCGCGAATAGAGTTGGAATTAGCRGAAAAACGCCGAGTAATTCAGCTACAACAACAGCAACAATACCAGAGAATTGAAGAAGAAAAACGAAAGATCGAAGARCAAAAACAGCGWCTCGAGGAACAGCAAAGACGMCTTGAAATTGAAAGACAAACACAGATAGAGATACAAGAAGCCCAATCCAAACATGATATGGCCCAAGCTCGTCTTCAAGTGGAAGGAGAGATAGCAGAAGGCGAAGAAAGTAGTGAAATMCTCAAGTCACTGCCAAGAGACAACTCAGTCACAAGAATAAGAAGATACATACAAGGAATTCCTGACGATGGCGAACTAACAAGTATACCTCAATCAATCAATAACGAATTCGAAAGAACAAACTTTGCAGATGAAGAGACTGACAAGAACGGAAAACAGCAGCAACCGTTACTACTACTTGCCACATCGATACTCAAGAGCAAACCTGTCCAGTTAAAGAAATTCAACGGAAGCATTCACGCGTATCCAGGATTCAAAGCAGCGTTCAAAAGAATGGAAAGAGAAAACCTCTACAGTACAGACGAATTATTAGACATCTTGTTGAACCACACAACAGAAAAAGCAGAGACAGCTCTACGAGGAATACTACCAGGAAGCGGACAATACAAGAAAGCCTGGGAAATCTTAGAACGTCGCTTTGGAGACCCAAAGTCAATCATCGATGTCAATGACAACCAACTCAAGAAACATATCAGCGTCAGTGAAAGAAATGTCAGCCAATTGCGTTCACTCGCAGATACCATCTCCATGATAGTGACTACATTTCAATCCATGAACCTTGAAAGTGAGCTGAAGTCATCATGCTACGTCAGAGAAGCAGC